GCAATCTTACCAGTGGCTGGACAAAGCTGGATTGAATGACAATCCAGCAGATAATAGGTAAGAGAAAAATCTATGCCGAGTATGACCTGGAAGTCCTGAGGTCAAAATGGGAAACACCGACTAGGGTGATGGAGAATGACCAAGCTAAGATCCTGTGGACTTCAGATAAGTGGTGGACGAGCAGAGGAAGCCCGCATAGCAAGCTGGCCCAGATCTGGTATCAAGCCGGCACTGCAGGCTGACTTCTGGCATGGTAAGTGGTATGTCATCCAGATATGGGCCAGGCCTGGAATAGATGGCACTGTCTATGTTCCTATTTTCCTATTTTAGTTAGAAGATCCAAATGCCATGTTGCAATAATATACTGCTATGGTAGCCAACCTTTCAAATGCAGGTTTGACAGGTTTGTGAGTGTGCACTTTATCCAAAACCTAGTGACGGTTTACTCACCTTTGCCGGTGGATGGCTGTAGCTCAGGAGGTAGAGCAGGGCACCTACTAATCAGGTTAGTGGTTCGATCCATGGCTCCTCCAGTCTGCATGTCAAGAGTAAGAATGTGTGTGGCTGTAGTTAAGAAGCGCTCAATTTAGAGAAAGTGTATAAATGTGGCATGTTGTATAGAGCACTCTGAGTAATCCGGGAGAGTAGAAAAGTGCTATATGAGAATCAGTCCATTCAGTGTCTAAACAGAGTTTCATCATGTTACTTTTGCACTATCATGTTCCATCGCATGTTGTTATTACATGGCTTGATTAAGGTACACATTAGGCTGACATCTGGGGCCAGAGCTGAAACTGTTCTGGGCCAGAGCTGAAACTGTTCTGGGCCAGCACAGGGCCAGCAGTGTGTCTGCAACTGGCCTTGTGCTGGCCCATGTGTGGGCCACATCATCAGATCTGGGCCACCAAAGGGCCGTCATTCTTTGCGGTATGTGGGCCATCTGTAAGCACATTGTGTGGGCCAGATCCAGGCCATACCAATTTTGCTATGTGGAAGACGGCCGTATAGTGATAGATGTAGCTATAGCAAGTGATAGCAACGTGAAAGAAGGAACAAGAGAAGCTCGAGAAGTATCAAGCACCAGAAGGAGCACAAGCGGTGAACCTCCTAGGACCTGGCATCCACATATGTGGACATCACATTTTGGGTTATTTAGACCAAAATACTCAATTTTGCTTTACAAGGGCCTGATATCCACTTACGAGGACATTATACTGCTACTGTTATATCAAATATTTAAACGAATATCCTCATATGTGGCTCTTATTTTTCTTAAAAACAAAAATAAGGTAAAAAAAAATCTGGTAATTCTTTGTTTTGACGTTCTTGGGCCCCAATATGCCCAAATATCAAAGAGAAATTAAAAATGCATACCGTGGAAGAGTTCGGGTCTTAGGAGGTTAATACTAATAACTAATGATTAAATGCAGAGTGTTGTGTAAGCAAATAGTGAATGGAAAAAAAGGTGAGTGTAGACGAAAAACCAAGAGCATCATTCCACTGCAGCCTAGACCTATTGCAGGTCTAGGCTGCAATAGGTCCAGCAGCCTAGACCTATTGCAGCATAACTAAGGAGGGTTTGAAGTCACCTGATCCAGCCCTGACTGTATGCTTTATTAAAAAGGAAAGATTTAAGCCTAATCTTAAAAGTAGAGAGGGTGTCTGTCTCCTGAATCCAAACTGAGAGCTAGCTCCATAGAAGAATGGTCTGAAAGCTGGCGGCTCCCATTCTACACATAAAGTTAGGAGGGTGTGTTACTGTTAAAGAAGAGGTAATGGAGTGAGGTATGTAATAGAGGGAGTGATATCGCTCTGCTGGCATATATATTTGACCCAGACTATTTGAAATGTGTTCTGCTTTCTCGCCTCTAAATCTGCTGTCACTATTCTGTGACTGAGATAATACTAAGCCAGCAGAGGAGCGCCGTTATCTCCGTGCCCCAAAAAGACCACTGATATCTCTATTTCCTGTGCGGGTGTGTGCGCACAAATACACACACACACATGCATAAACAGATACACTTCTTTCCCAAAAGTGCAACCTACAGATGCATGCCGACACTCCCAGAAATCACTCAGCACAAACAACTTGCGCTGAATCTTTTTTTTTTTTTTCATTTTCTGTCTGTGAAACCATGACTGCTGAAATAGGTGGAATATAAACAGTGGCATATTCATTCTGTCTCAGCAGGCGCACACACACACAAACACACACAGACGTCCTCTGAGTAAAGCACCCCAGGCAGAAACAGTCAGGGCTCAAATGAAAACACACATCTCGAGAAGAGATAAGCGAGCCGCGGCATCTTTCACGAGAGACTTTTTGTAGTTGCGTCAACAATTGTTGCACCGTGTCACCCACACCGCCTGGATTCACATCAAAGCCTGCGATGAAAATGCACTCAGTTCTCTTTAGTGAACATGAGCTCCACAGTAACATGCTCAGCAGTGCCCCCGTGTGGTCATACAGGGACACCGAGCACATTATTGCATTGTATATGACCATAAGACCAAAATAATGCATTGTACAACACTGAAGGCTTTGCAAGGGATTGCGATTTAAAGTTGTCTCGCTAACATTTTACACAAGTCTCTGAGAATTGAAGCCTCTCTGCTGGACACACTATGTGATCACACCATTTTTAAATCACCCAAGGATCTTTTCCTGCATTAAAAAAATGTCATCAAATGTAATGTTGGCCAGCATATAGACCAGTCGTGGGTGCTGGCTACATGTAGGATTAGTGCAGCCTGCGTCTGGCCTGTACAGCGTGGTTAAATGCGACTCATAAACTCAAGTTTCACTTCCTGATCGAAAAGTTGAAAGCCTAAAATGCTTTCTCACTGTGCGCGAAGCTCTTGCAAAGGCTGTGGGCATTTCGACAGCATAGTGCAAGCTGAGAGCGTATATTTTTGTGTCTACTGGTTATCACGTAGCCTATTGCTCATATTTCCACTAAGTTCAGTTATAAAATCATTGTGGTCACTATCACGTTTGCTATGTCGTGAGTCTAACTGTTGCTGGAGTAGTGGGTGATAATTCGATTTAATCTATTCCTCTGAACGACTGAGAAAGACGTTTTTAACCCATCTTTTTATCGATTAAAGATCACGACAGTGCAGAAGTAACGAAACAGTGAAGGAAACCTCAAGAGGAAGTAGAGAAACATCATGGTTAGTCTGCATGCAGCCTGAATCTAATGACTGCATTTTTGTTTTGTTTTCTTACTCTAATGTAATAATAAATAAATACATAAAACAAATTTGAACACGTGATTTAGGATTAAGGTTATCCCTCGATCCCTCAATCCCTCAATACACTGCTTTACTGTGTGGCTTTTACAAATGAGTTTAGTTAGCCTAGCATAACAGCAGAGTAATCGGCTGTAATTATCATTAATGAGTCGTAATTATACAGCGTCAGGACGTCGCAGGGGGACGTGAGCTCAATTACTAACCACGTCTGCAGCCATGCTGCCTTCTCTATCAGCTCGTGTTGCGTTCAGCTGCTATTGGAAATGTGCAAAATCAGCACTGTGTTTCTTCACCGACATCAGTGGCTGCGCATCAAACTGATCATATTTATAATTTCTAGCATGACTGTGGCTTGTAGCGTTTTTGTTGTATACAGTTGGTTGCATATTTTATTCTGGCCTAATGGTCTTTCAAAGTTTGTGTCTGGACACTTCTTTTATAAGGCACTAAACACTGATGTGTGAATTGATCAGCTATTAAGCAACAAAGTCAAGCGATGAGACAGTGTTTTATCTAGACATAAAGGACTTAGCTGTCTGTTACAGAAACATGTAATTTATTACATTTTTTTTAGATAAACCTTGAAAAGTGACACATTTTACAGACGTAAATTAGTATTTTTGAACCAACAAGAAGCTGCAAATCTGCCATTTCTTGCACATGTTCTTTTTCTTGCACATGTTCTTTTTCAGCTATTTATTAATAAGTGACTTTTATGTATATATATGCCTGTATATATTGTGTTATTCTTAGTTAGGGTATTGTCTGTCTTTGTTAATGTTTGTTTATAATGGAGCACTGTAACAAAAAATAATTTCCCCTAGGGATCAATAAAGTATTCTGATTCTGATTTCTTGGCATTGTTTGTATTTTGGCCTTTAAAAAAATGAGGAAACTGAAACAAGTGGAAAACAAAAATAAGAAGTGGGAGGCCTAAACATAACAAATGGGGGCATCTTAAATTACAAGGAACCTTGCCTATGAGAGTTCAGGGTATGTTGAAGAATAAACGTGGTCATGGTGACTTTAAAGCTCATTAGAATTGTACAAAATCCGCTTTTGTTTTGTTCGGGTTTTTTTATTTATTTGTTTTTTGCCTTATAGACTGTATTTCTATGTATGTTTGTACCTGTTTTAATAAATGTCTGGAATCGTTTCCTATTTTCCTTGCAAAATATTGGAAAATGTGGGTTCTTCATGACATTTTCAGTGTTGCATTGTAGTGAATGTGAATGTACACCTGTACATTTTTTCACATCTCTTTTAAACAGTTTGTAAATTAAAGAAACCAATGCATTCCTTTTAAAATGTAGGCCTACTGTGACATATTTTCATAAGTGGGTACATGTTTTATTCGTGCTGTAACAACAGAAATAACACACATCGAGGACATACATCCCACCACTGGCTTCATTCTGGTCTGTAATTCAGCTGTCGTTTATGTACTATGCTGAAAAATATCACTGTGCCCACAAAGGAAAGGAGAAGACTGGCGGGTAATTAACATGTTTAAACAATTCAGTTTCAAAGTTGGATTTGCTGAAAAATATCACTTCCTTATCGGGAAGGAAATCCGCTAAACAAATTAGTTAAGCCTCAAGTACAGCCCGCGGAAAGGGCGTCTTGATGAGGAAAAAGTAAGCGTAAACAGCACATTTATGGTACGTAGGAAAACTAAAACCCTGTCAAAGTGTACTCAGAAAACTGTTTCTTCTGGGGAGCACGTGAACGCAGCATTCCGTACTCTTGCAGGAGATGCTTTTAGTCGCAGCTCGCTCACTGCGCGTCTGCAGCACAACATAAAAGAAAACAATGCACAGGAAGGGGACAGCTGGAGCTCTCCGCACAGAGTGATCATGGCCGGTCGGTGGCGCGACGGTGCTCGCGTGTGTTCGGGAGAGCAGGACGGTGGCCTCAAACCGGCACGAAAGCTCCGCCAGCAGCAAGAACCGGGCTCAGACACCGGGGACGCGACGGAGCCGCCGCGAGGACTGCCGCGATGGATGCGGCTTTACTTCTACGGGATGCACGGCGTGACTCTGGATGTCCTGCTGTCATCCTTACAGGGGCTTTTGCACTCACGGGACCCTAAGCTGATGGGCTTTTCCTCTCCGTATCTTTGCATCATGCATTCGCTGACCCATTTTGCGCTGGAAAAGATCTACTCACAGAAGAGGTGCTTCCTAGGTCGGCCTGTGGTGTTTCATCTTGTTTTCTACCCGTCCATCTACATCGGGCTGCAGATTCTGATCGGGAACATTAACACTTTGGCCGAGCAAGTGAGGGTGGTTTCTGGGACTCAGCTGGTAGTGCATTACATCCTGGCTCTCTACTTCTCTCAGGTGTTTCACAGAGAGCTGTCACATCTACAGTATCGCCCATCATTCTCCGCTGACCTCCAGCTGGAAGGCAGACCCCCGCACGGTCTTCCCGGCTTTGCGCGCTTCTTATTCTTCGGGATGCACGGCTTTCTGGACGAGGTCCTTTTCACCTCTCTGTTCAACCTGGTGGAGAAGTCTGACAGGACCCTCAGCGGTCACACGTCCCTGTGGTCTTTCCTGATGTACGGAAGCTGCAGCTTCGTGGTGGAGAAGCTCTACCTTTACCTGCACTTCAGCCTGGGCTGGGGGTCCTGGCGACGACTCCCCATCTACATCTGCTTCATCTACACGTGGGAATTCTCGTGGGGTCTGGTCCTGAGGCAGTTTAACGCTTGCTCGTGGGATTACTCCCACTATCCTCACAACTTCATGGGACTTATCACCCTGCTCTACCTGCCCGGGTGGATCTGCTTGAGTCTCTATCAGGACGTGCTGTCCAATGTCCTGCTGAGAATCAAGTGCACCAAAGATGTGCATGATTTAAGTGAAGAGAATGGAGACGTCAAGGGACAACTGGAGCCAAACAAAAAGCAACTTTAATTCTAAGTTTGATGGTTGTAAACTAATATATAAGTGAGGAAGAAATACAACTAATTTAATAAGGGACATCTATTTATTATCAGGCAGTAAACAACAAAAATCAGAGTCTACGTTACACCTTCTAAAAATGAACATTTGTCCATATATCAAAATATTGGTAGCACTTTATAATACAGTCCACGATCAAGGGTGTAATAGACTTAAATGGAATTTACATGTAGACAAACTTGAATAAGAGGGTAATAATTCAACTTTTTTTTTTACAGGAAAGCAGAAAAATGTTCTTAAGTACTGCATTTGTAATTTAAGTAGTGCACAACATCTGGGTATTTTACAGGAAATGAGATAGAAATCAATCATTTTAAGTAGTGTATTATTTCCATCTATTTTAGTGAACAAAAAAAAAGATCCAAATTTTATTCTATATTTATGCTCTACTTTTTATATTGACATTGTGAATTGCATTGGTGTGCCTCAGAGTATAAGTGGGCGGATCAATCCAAATACTGTTAGATTTAATACCGAAGCTAGTATTGGTGTTGGATTGATACTAGTGTGATAGGATTGAAATTTTGTTTCTAGGTTGGACTCCAAGGAAAAGTAAACACCAGCCCGATTACTCTATTGTTAAAAGATCACATGGGCCACCTGTGTGGCCTGCAGTATTTGCAACTTTTAGTTTTTTCTTCTAAGTGGGAAAGGTACTTTTATAGGTAATATAAATGGAAAATTGAATATAATCCAGAAAAAAATGCAAAAAGTACAGCATATTTACAGTACAGGATGGTTAAACTCAGAGAAAAAGAAAATACCTGGACATAATAGACTACTTAAAATTATAATTATTTCTTCTTTCCTGTAAAAACTTGACTTTTTAGCTCTAATTCTAGTTTATCTACTGCTAAGTACTTATAGGTAAATAATTATCATTTGTGGGTTTACCACTATCATTCATGCAGTACCTAAAATTATATACAGTATAATTATTTCTTCTTCCCTGTAAAAGCTTGAATTATTACCCCTAATTCTAATGAGTCTACTACTAATTATATCTAGATTAATATAATAACATTGTCATTTCAGATAAAATACATTGGCATACCAATTCTAATTCTAGAGTTATTGCTCTCTTAGCTGCGCTCTGTATTATAAAATGCTATCAGATTTTTTAATACGTTTCATTTTCTTCAGGCAGGTGAAGATTGGTGAGTTCAACAAGATTTTCTGTGGAGGTAATAACTTCTGGAAGTTACGAGTCGACCCTAACCCTCGTTACCTGTGCTTTTATTCTGCTCTGCCTGATATTTTAGGGTACAGCAAGGAATTCAAAACTTTGGACCCCAACTGTTTAAATTCAATTACTGCCGTTTTTACCCATTTAGTGGAAAATACAGTTGTAACATGAACAACTTTTACATGTCCTCATGACTTTGAAAGTGTGAAGATTCAGTTTTGTATGGATTGCAGTGACTGATTTCCCGTTCTTCACATATGGCAGATGTGTTTTGGATTTGATCGCTTACGTTATTCACCTATACATCAGCATGCTTTAAGTGTCCTATCTGCATGCTAAAATACCAGTAAAGCTTTCTTTTATTCACTAACTCACATGTATCAACTAATATTCCAAAGTCAGTATTTTTAAGACAGAGTCATCTGTTAATTTTTCACCTTTTTATTCTACCCCTTAACATTTCAAAACAAACTGCATCCACTCAGCTTGTTAACATGATCACAGAGCAATGCATGGCAATTCTTAGAGTTGATATAAACCCAGTGGTATATGTAGCAAAGGAATCCGTAGCTAAATGATTATGAGGAGACAAGATGTTGCAGTTTCTTTTTCATGACCCAAACACTGATTTGCTCGAGTGCCTTCCTGTGCAAACTGAGTCCAAGCGACACAAAAAAAACTCAGCTTTTTATCTGCAAGTGCTACAATTGTGGATCGAAAGGAAGTGCCTGACTGAAAATGGATTTTGGGGGCCAATGTCAATATTGATTTTTTTATTGATATACAAAATATGTGACTTAGTGATATATGGGTTAATATAATATTGATATAATATAGGTCATACCGGTTCACCAACATACTGTAGCAGCCAGTCACCTATATGTATCACCTGTATCATCTATATTCTCTAGATATTAACCTCCTATGCTGCCTCATTAGAAGTAATATGCTTCAATGAAATGCAAAGAAATGATTCTGCTCTGTGACCTTTTTGAACACCATTAAAATATTAGAATCAGTCACTTTGCACTTAGAATTAGAAACACGATGATCTTCTCTGGGATTGATTGATTATTTAGGTGACAAATTATTTTTTGTCTATACAAATTTAGAAGCATACTTTGCACAGGTGCTTTATTTTATTATTTTGTTTATTAACAAATATTCATATTAATTGTTTTTTTTAGTTTTAAAGCCCTGTGAAATTCTACTGATATGATTAGCACTGAGAGCTGAACTGAACCCTACTCAGCCTAATACTTTGGCTACTGATTTTTTTTCCTTGTTTAACCTGGCAGCTACACTGGTGTTCTTAAACATTTACACTCTGTCCCACATGAATAACTTTGTACAACTTACAGTTTTTTTCCATGACAGAATAACTGTATTTTAATCATACTTAACTTTCGTGTTTGGCTGTGCACTTTTTGAAGATTTTAAAAAAATGACCAAACTACTTTTAAAAAGCTATAAAAAAAAGAACGTTTGAAAGAAATTGCACAATAACTAAAAAAAATATCTCTAACTTGCAATGGCATGTACTGTATGACTTAGAATTTTAAATAAAAATACAATTTTCCTGTGACGCAGCTGGTATTCCTTCATTTCTTTAACATTTGCATTATTCAGCAGAGGCGCAATTACACCATATCTATGGAAATATTTACTTCCTGTTGAAGAGTCAAGGTTAAAAGTTAAAAGCAGTCCAGGCGTAAAGTGAAAGGGTAAATCAAACCCTTATACAGAGGTTTTGCCCTGTGGAGGGTGCGGTTTCTTTTTATTTACTGACTTGGTGTTTGCATTCTGCTAAAAGGCTAGGAACAAAAAAGGTCTGCCAGACACTGGTGACTATAGGAAATACTTGTAGTTTTCCATACCACAAGCTTGAACAAATCTCAGCAGATCCAGGCACACAAGCAACAGAATCAAGACAATCTTGGTTTTATGGCTGCAAATCATTTTCTTTAGTGCATAAGATAATAGTTCCTGGCACAACCTGATAATATGTGTGTTATCTGTAATTACTGCTTTCTGGTTGAGTTAGCACTGATATAAATCAAATAAGACAGAGAAAATTGCAAAAAAGCAATGTAATTCATTTAAAATTTTAGTTATGTGATGCTGGGGTTTTTTGTATAGTTGTGTTCACTTTCTCACTCCCTCTCTTTCTCTCCGCGACACCATGGAGATCATTGTGACATAAGCAAATACGAACATTTAGACATCACACACACCACCCAGAGGACTCTGAGTGAATACACCAGTGACCTACAATATTTACTGTAAATCACAATGGGAGCAACATACACCAAGCCTCATTAACACGTTCAATCAGAAGTAATCTGTGACTGCTGTTTATAAAAATGAACATGCATTTTCAACATATCTTTTGGTATCTAATACTAGGAAGTGAAACTGAACAGTTGGCTTGATTATTATGGCAACTTCCTTTCCAACACCTGAATAATAAAACATTATAATATGGTCCTTAAAACTTTACTAGACCAGCGGGAAATTCCATTAATTGATATTTCTCTAATAGTCGCCACATTACATATCTGTTTATGTCCTCATTAATCCAAATGTCTAATCCGACAATCACATGGCAGCAGCTCAGTACATTCAGACAAGTAGACATGGTGAAAGAGAGTTTAAACTGACCGTTAGAATGGGGAAGAAAGATGATTTAAGTGACTCTTTGAATGTAAGTTGTTTGTTGGTACCCGTTAGCGGCAATTCTCTGGGTGAAAATGACTTGTTGATGTCAGAGGTCAGAGGAAATGGCAAGGCTGGTTTGAGCTCATAGGAAGGCAACAATAATTCAAATAACCATTTGATTGACCACATTTTGTACCGCTCCTCAGCTAAGAACAGGAAATTGAACATGCTATTTCGCAAAGCTCAAATCATCTCAAAATGTTTTCTTGAACATGACAGGTGCTCTGTTGAACTGAAATGGCTTTCACAGCCACCGTATTTCAATCCAACAGCACCTCTGGAATGCGATCGAATGATAAATCTACAGCAACTCTGTGGTGCTATGTGTAATGCTGTCATAGAAGTACAGGCAACTTTCTCTGAGGAATGTTTCCAGCACTTTCCTCATTTGTCATTTATAGACTTAAATAATCCACTGCTTGTCAGACCTTTTCTCTCAAGCAATCAAAAGCCACTGACAACGATCTAAACTGGAATAAAGGTCAGTGCGTCTGGTGATTCATGTTTATTTTTCTCACACAAATTATATTCGCTATACATTTGCATACACAGACATATTTTTAAAAGAGCCGAGATAAATTAAATAAATTACTGAGAATTTAAAATGAAAAATGTTTTCATTCATTCAGTACTTTGTCATTGCAGAGAAAGAAATAAAAAACTGCTGCAGTTTTTCTTTTTTTTCCATTTGCATATGCAGTCAAATCATATTCAAATACCAACTGGCTGTAATATTGTCAGGCGCAGGTGACACATCTGTGATTTGGTATTGTGCTTGTAGTTTATAGATTCTGTCAGTGGTTTTATTCATAGTACATGAAGTAGCCCTATGCTTACTGAGTCGTTTTTTACTGACACAGCAAAAGGTAGCAGTATATATATATCTATAT